CAAGTCTATTGCCCTTTCGATAAAGCGTGAGTAGTTTACCTCAGACCTACGGGTCCATAGCTAGTAGTTAGATGGCTTCTTCTCTCTCTCTTTGATTCTCAATACCATGTTCTCCTCGATGTAATCTTTTTTGCGGTGTGTTTGTCGAGACCCGATGAATTGTGGATTTCTGATCAGATTATCTATGAATATTACTTGAATCTTCTCTGAATTCTTATATGCATAATTTGATATCTTTGTAATTCTCTTTGAACTATCGGTTTAGTTTGGCCAACTAGATTTGTTTTTATTGCAATGGGAGAAGTGTTTAGCTTTGGGTTTAATCTTGCAGTATCCTTACCCAGTGACAAAGTAGGGGTAGCGAGACACGTATTGTATTAGTGTCATCGAGGATAAAAAGATGGGGTTTACATCATATGGCTTGAGTTTATTCATCTACATCATGCCATCTTACTTAAAGTGTTACTCTGTTCTTCATGAACTTAATACTCTAGATGCAGGAATGAGTCGGTCGATGTGTGGAGTAATAGTAGTAGATGCAGGCAGGAGTCGGTCTACTTGACACAGATGTGATGCTTATATTACATAATCGTTGTCTTGGATATCGTCATAACTTTGCGCTTTTCTATCAATTGCTCGACAATAATTTGTTCACCCACCATATTATTTGCCTTCAAGAGAGAAGCCTCTAGTGAAACCTATGGCCCCCGGGTCTATTTTCCATCATATTAGTTTCCGATCTACTAATTTACAATCTTTTATTTTCTGATCTATAAACCAAAAAACCCAAAAATATTTTATGTTTAGTTTAGTTTTAATTATCTATCTCTATCAGATCTCATCTTTGCAAGTGACCGTGAAGGGATTGACAACCCCTTTATCGCGTTGGGTGCAAGTGTTTGTTTGTTTGTGTAGGTATTGGTGATTTGCGTGTTCGTGTCCTACTGGATTGATACCTTGGTTCTTAACTGAGGGAAATACTTATCTCTACTTTGCTGCATCACCCTTTCCTCTTCAAGGGAAAACCAACGCAAACTCAAGAAGTACCAAACCGCGACGTCCAGATCGGACGCCGTGTGAAGGACGAGTCAGCCTCGCCGCCATACCGCCGTGGTGTCCAGGTTGGACGCCGGGTCAAGAAGGAGCCGGTGTCCCCACCACGCAGCCGGTGCGGCCATATGGACGTGCCATTGCCCCCCCGCGTGCTGCCACCGCTTGCCGTCAAGGATGAGTTGCTTCCCATGATCAAAAAGGTGTGGGGCCACCTCCTCCACTACCATGCAGAAGGAAATTACGGCGGTGCCTCGGGCTCGAGGGCCGTCATCTCCGAGGCGGAGCGCGCGGCAAGGTACGACCGACGCAATGTCGATCGCCGCTCCGCATTTGCCAAGAGCGACGTGGCGACGGATTCGGTCCGCAACGACCCTGACCTCGTCGCCGCGTGGGCGCTCGACCACTCTATGACCACTGCGGAGACGGCCGCTAGGCGCAGCCGCTGCCTTGACAGTGAGCTCGCCATGATCAGCGAGGAGTGGTCGCTTAGCGACTTCTCCGCCAATGTCAGTCGCGGCAAGGCCGCCGCCAGGGCTCCAAAGGCCACGTTAGCAGTGGTCGTGGCGACACGTCACACAATGCAGCAGGAGGCGGAGTGACTCCTATGAGAGCGGCAGGCAGCTGCCGGAGGGCTGTGATAGCCTTGTCCGACGAAAAAGGCTGTCGCGGCCCTCCGGCGCCATTCCGCCGCTAGAGGGACCCCGACGACGACGGCGACACCGAAACTGATGGAGACAACGGTGTGGCAGGCCAGGTCGGCCACACGTATGAGGTGGTCGTTCGATATAGGGTTTAGTTTTTTTAGTTTTTGTGTTAAACGGTCGAAATATCGACCTTTTATGTAAATTATGTCCGAACTTCAACAAAATACGCCCGATTTGAACGAATTTCATCCAATTAATTTGAGCTATTAGCCAAATGTATGTGGGCAGCATTGGATGGTGGCCTCCAACAGTACTACATGAAATAAAATAATTATAACAATTTTGTAAACCATATTTTGGGCCTTATGAATATTATCTAAAAATGAATTTATGGTTATAAATAA